CTGTGTGACAAGTCATGAAAGACATCATTAATGAACTCCTGAAAGACCAGGGGCGCGTTACACAACCCGAAGGGCATAACCAGGGATTCATAGTGGCCGGTTCTGGTGTTGAACGTGGTCTTCCACTCGTCGCCCTCCTCGATCCGTATGAGGTTGTACGCAGCCCTAAAGGTCGAGTTTAGTAAAGACCGTTGATCCCTTGAGGAGGTCGAACAACTCGGTAATCAACGGAATTGGGTAAGCATTCTTAATCGTGATTCAATTGAGACCCCCTAAAATCAATGCAAGGCCTCAATTCACCGCCCTTCTTTTTCACAAAGAAAAAGCCAGCTCCTGCTGGAGAAGTAGACTTGCGAATGTGCCCCCGGGAAAGTGCATCCGCAACGTACTCCTCCATGGCCTGATTCTCCGCAACCGAAAGAGGATACACCTTGCCACGCGGAGGAGTGGCACCGGGTTGTAAGGTTATGGCACAATCGTATGGACGATGAGGAGGCAGAGCACCGGCGCGCACCTTGTCAAACACGTCCAGGTACTCCCCATAGTCAGTGGGCAACACAGAGTCTGAGGAGGCACACAACACCTTAACAGGTCCACGGATGCACCCGGCCCCACGCTGTGGAGACCACGAGAGAATCTCGGCCGACCGCCAATCAAAGGTCGGATTGTGCTTCTGAAGCCAGGGATATCCCAAAACCACGGAGTAGTGCGGGGAAGAAATTACCTGGAAACAGGCCAACTCCCTGTGAACAGCCCCAATAGCTACCTCAACTGGCAGGGTCTCGTGGGTAACCTGCGGCGGTTTGCAGGGGCCTGCCATCTATCGCCTCGAGGACCAATGGAGTAACTCAGGCCTACAGAGGAATGGAGTACTGGGCAGCAAACAAACTGTCATAAACAACCCGCCAGCACCAGAGTCTACCAACGCCTGGGCCGTCACCGAGCCAAGAGAGGACAACGGTGATTAGCGGTTTATCTTTGCAGGAAACCGGGGACGAGGAAACTCCACCCAAGATCTGCCCCGACAGGATCTCAGGTGCGAGCGTTTCCCGGACGGACCGGAGGGGACTGCTGAAACTGCCCACCGAGACAACAGTACAGGCAGCGACCCTCCCAACGCTGAGAGGCCTGCTCCCCCTCGGAAAGGCAAGCAAACCCCAGCTGCATGGGCTCACCGCTAGACAAGCCATCCCCAGGAGGCGTGGGAGGAGAGGGAGGAACGGGTGGGACAGAAAACGTAGGCGCCAATCGGTTAGGTTACCAGACACTCCTTAAGTGAAGGCCTCTCCCTGAGCCTGGTGTCAATCAGGATTAAGAAGGAAATGAGTGCTTCGAGCTCCACAGGCAGTTCTTTGGCTGCAATCTCTTCCTTCAATGCCTCTGAGAGACCATGAGAGAAAGCAGCCACCAGAGCCTCATTGTTCCAACCAACCTCTGCCGCCAGGGTACAAAATTCTATGGCGTACTCAGCAACGGTTCGTGAACCCTGATGCATGGACATGAGCAGCTTAGCAGCAGAGGCGGAGTGAGCAGGCACATTGAATACCGTACGGAAGGAGGCAACAAAACCGGCAAACTCGTGAATCACAGGGTTATCGTTCTCCCATAAGGGATTTGCCCAGGCCAAGGCCTTGTCTGAGAGCAGCGAGATTAGGAAGCCCACCTTTGACCTCTCAGTAGGAAAAATGTGGGGTATCAATTCAAAATATATGCCCACTTTGTTAAGGAAACCCCGACACTGACTCGGCTCACCCCCAAAGCACTGTGGAAGGGGGGCTGAACCAGTCATACCTCTGGGAACCGCAGGTGCGGCAGCAGATGCGGAGGTAGGCGCAACAACCGGGAGCAACAGCGGGAGCGACCACAGGAGTGACAACTGGCCTAATAGCCCCAGGAGTAAGGTGCGCTGTGCGTGCAAGCAGCGTCTGCAACGCCTGAGCGAACTGACCCAACAAGAGATCCTGCTAATCAAGTCTGGCAACCATAGGAAGCGAGGGCGTACCTGCACCGTCAGGATTCATGGCATTCGTGTAGTGTCAGGGAGCGAGGAGCCAGAAACACAAGGAGGTGCAATTAAAGGTAGGTTTATTGTACAAAACCAAGACAGAGTCTATGCAAGTCCAACAGCAACAACGGATGACTTTGTAGGACAGAAGCCAGGAAGGATGGTCGCCAGAGCCGGGGTCAGACGTCAGGAAGGATGGTCGCCAGAGCCGGGGTCAGAAGCCAGGAAGGAGTCTTGCCAAAGCAGAGTCGGTATTCAGGAGAGCATTGAGAACTAAACAGGAGCTTGCTGCTGTGCAACAGACAGGACACGAATGCAATGGACCGCTACAAACAGCAGACTTATATGTGATAAGCCGCCACCTCCTGGGGGAGGAGCTGCAGAGGCTGAAAGCATAAAGGATCCCACAATGCTTTGCAGACACCTAAGATGGATGCCAGCACATGGAGCAGCACAAGCCCTGAGGAAAGGTAGGACCTTGACAATAACACAGCCAGGACTGGAAAAAAAAGGAAAAACGTGCCCTGCCTTCAGAGGATACAGCATGTCCTCAACCACCACTTTTCACTATGGACACAGAGGCTGCTTGGACTCTCTTAGATGCCTATGAATGTATGCCTCTCCTTCTTGGCCTTTCGGACATGATGGGGATTTTTTAGCGGATTTTTCTAACTTTTTATTTTTGAGTGTAGGCTAGGATTTTGCTTGGGTGCAATACTTTTGTGCTTGGTGCACTATAAACTGTTTTATTATTATTATTATTATTATTATTATTGTTATTATTATTATTATTCTTTTTTACAGAAAATAGGGGCTACAGCAAATATGGATACTTTAACTTTTTTGTGGCAGCAGTAAAAAAAATAAAATAAAATAATTGTAAAATAATGAAAAAAGCCAATAAAAATGGTGATGCAGAAGGAAGAAAACCTGCAACAAAAGAAAAACAAATAAAATTAAAAAATTCAGATAGCCAAAAAAAAAAGGGAACCACTGCTGACGCAGAAGGGGGGACAGCAATTATGCCGTAAATAGTTTTAGTGCTGCTGTTGCAGCCAAAAGAAAATTTAATTAAATAAAAAAAAAAAAAAAAAAAAAAACAAAAAACAAAGAAAGGAAACTACTGCTGACGCAGGAGGAACACCTGTGACACAGAAGGTGTCAATGCATACTAGGTTTATGTATATTATTGAACTCTGCATTGAGAAATTTAGCATATTGCATGGTGAATGTATATAGTGTGTATATAATGTTGGTGTTATATTTATGAGGGAGATGAGGAGATGTTATTTATATCTTTGTGGAGTTACGAATGAATGTTGAATGTATGGGTTCTTGATAAAAGGGCTCTCTGTCCAAGAATGACTATATTGGCATAGAGGTCATCTTCAGCGAATCATGCCAGAACATTACACGGAATGGTGTAAGGTCGATATAAATGTTTTATTCATCTTGTGTGCCAATCAGGCAGAAGAGGAGGAAATTGGACAAAAAATCAAAAATTGGACAAGGCAGCTTGGACATGAACTGAATGGCTTCTCTAGAAGCAAATTGCAAAATGACATTTGCACAGCTAGTCAACCTCAAAGAGGGCTACACAAATAAATGCATGAGGTTGTTATCCTTTGACAAGCAGGACCTCAGCCCCTACAGCAGGCTAGTATGATTCCTAATAGGGAAAGGCTGGAATGGACATCCTGAATTCCAGGACCCTGCAGGGGTTTGTTGCTCAGATCTGGCTAAAATGACAATATATCTCATGGGCTGGGAGAACATGTGGACAGCTCATTTGATAATCTGCTCAAAAGAAGCTCCACTCTGAGCCTTGGACAGTACTGAAATTTTGTGACCTTTTGGATCCAGATATCTTCCACAAAAAGATCAAGGACTTGACTGGCTGGGACACATTGGAGGGCATGTCTCAATGCTGGACAAGAGACATTGGAGCGTGTAACCGAGTCAGTGAGTATGGATAAGTGTTAGATTAGAGAAGACCCCTTTGTTCCCTATCCCCTTATTCTATTTCCCCCCTATCCTTATTTGTAACTGTAAAGTACATCCTGATTTGTAAATAAACCCAAACCTTATTTTAAGACCTAATTGTTCATTAGAATTCAAACACCCCATACAGAACATATTTTACACACCCTAATCGTTCACTTAAATTTGTTTTTGTATTCTTTGTAGTGCTAGAATATTGACAGTGTCCTCTCGGCCTTGTATTTTCTAAAGGACAGTTTTTTCTCTTTAATGTGCCTTTTTACACTTCAATTTAGCCACCCAGGTTTAACTCTAGTTCTTTTTATATTTGTTTCCTATTGGAATACATTGGCTAATACCATTACAGTAATTAAGATGTTCTTAAAGCACTTCCACTTATCTTCTGTGTTTTTTGCATCTAGCATGTCTTCCCATTTAAGTTCATGTAGTATGGAGCACAGTTTGGTAAAGTTAGTTTTCTTGAAATTTAATGTATATTAAATGTTTGTAATTAGTAGATGCCTGTTTCTCATTGGGGCATCCACCAAATGACATTTAAGACGTTCCAAGCCTTAACCACCTCCCGCCCGCCATGTAGTAATATGACGGACGCAAGGTGGTTCTCTCGTTCTGGGAGGATGTCATATGACGTCCTCCCATTCTAACTGCGCATGCGCGGCTCCCGGAGCGCGCAGTGCGGTGATCGGCAGGGCGCTGTGTCCCTCGGACACAGCGGATCACCTATCAATGGAAAGAGCCGAAGATGTCGGCTCGGTCATGTGATCAGCTGTGTCCAATCACAGCTGATCACATGTAAACAGGGAAATGCCAGTTATCGGCATTTCTCTCCCCACGAGCTGTCACGCTGACAGCTTGTAAGGAGAGGAGAGCCGGTAATCGGCATTCCTCGGAGGGGACATGTACACAGATCATCAGAGCACTGATGATCAGTGTGCCCTGATGATCTGTTTAGCCCCAGCAGTGCCACCTGTCAGTGTCCATCAGTGCTCATCCATGCCACCTGCCAGTGCCCATCAGTGCCACATTTCAGTGTCGTCAGTGCCACATCAATGCAACATATCAGTGTTCATCTGAGCTGCCTTTCAGTGTCACCCATCAGTGCCAGTCAGTGCCACCTATCAATGCCAGTCAGTGCCACCTATCAGTGCCAGTCAGTGGCGCCTATCAGTGTGCATCAGTGCTGCCTATCAGTGCCCGTCTGTTCCACCTAACAGTGCCAGTCAGTGCCACCTATCAGTGCCATACATGAGTGGTGCCTTTCAGTGCCCATCAGTGATGCCTGTCAATGCCCATCAGTGCCACTACCTACCAGTGCCTCCTCATCAGTGCCCATCAGTGCCACCTATCAGTGTCCATCAGTGCAGCCTATCAGTGCCCATCACTGCAACCTCATTAGCGCACATCAGTGAAGGAGAAAACTCACTTATTTACAAACTTTTATAACAAAAACTAAGAAAAAACGTTTGTTTTTTTTAAATTTCAGTGGTTTTTGGTTTGTTTAAGAAAAAAAAAAACCCCAGAGGTGATTAAATACCACCAAAATAAAGCTCTGTCACAAAAAAAAAAATATAAATTTCATATGGGTACAGTGTTGCATGACCGTGCAATTGTCATTCAAAGTGCTACAGCGCTGAAAGATGGAAATTGCCCTGGACAGGAAGGGGTATAAGTGCCCTGTAGGCTAGTGGCTAAAGGAGTGAGTAGCACCATCTGCCCAGTCAGTATCTGGATATTTAAAGTGCCCCATGATGATAACATAGCCCTGCCTTGCCACCAATTGTAACTGTGAAAGGAAATACACCCACTATTAATTTCCCTTTTGTTTTATCATTTTGTAGCTCCAGCCACAAGTATTCCAGCCCCTCCATTGCCCCGCTAGTAAAGTCATCCCTTGTGTTTACCTGCAAATCTTTGTTGACATACATGCACATCCCTACCCCTCTTCTACCTAACCTGTTCCTTTGACACAGGGAGTACCCTGTCATGTGAGCTGTCAAACCAGGCCCCTGTTACTCCTACAAAGTCAAAATCCTCCTCATGCATTGACAGTTCCAGTTCCACCATTTTGTTCACCAGACTCCTAGCATTGGTGAATATGCCTTTTAGTTTGGTACGACCACATATTGTTTTTTCCCTGCTTGTACTGAGGCTGTAGTAGGATTCTGTCAGTCCACACTTGTTGGCTTTAAGTAATCCAGTTACATAGTTAGCCTGACTAAAAAAAGACAAAAGTCCATCCAGTTCAACCATAAAAAAAAAAAAAGTTATAATCCTATACCCACAGTTGATTCAGAAGAAGGCAAAAAACTCAGCAAAGCATGATCCAGTTTGCTCCCGCAGGGGAAAAAATTCCTTCCTGATCCCCCGAGAGGCAATCGGATATTACCTGGATCAACTTTACCTATAAATGTTAGTAACCAGTCATATTCTTTGTATCCAAGAAAGAATCCAGGCCTTTTTTAAAGCAATCCACGGAGCTGCCCAGAACCAACTCCTGAGGGAGTCTATTCCACATTATCACAGCTCTTACTGTAAAGAAACCTTTCCGTTTCTGGAGATTAAATTTCTTTTCCTCCAGACCTAAAGAGTGTCCTCTTTTCCTCTGTGATGACTTCTGGGTGAATAACTCTACACGGATTTCACTATATGAACCACTGATTTCTTTTTCCATGTTGATAATATCCCTCCTTAATCTTCTCAAGAGAGAATAAATTCAGTTCTTGTAATCTTTCCTCATAGCTGAGCTCCTCCATGCCTCTTATCAGTTTGGTTGCCCTTCTCTGTACTTTCCCAGTTCCCCAATGTTCTTTTTGTGAATTGGTGCCCAAAATTGAACTGCATATCACAGATGAAGTATTACTAATGATTTGTACAGGGGTAAAATGATAAGTCTCTCTCTGGAGTCTATACCTCTTTTAATACAAGAGAGGATTTTGCTCGCTTTAGAAACTGCAGCTTGCCATTGCATGCCATTATTAAGCTTGTGATCTACCAAGACTCCCAGGTCCTTCTCCATCATTAAATTGACCACAGTCACACTTTCTGCCCCTTGTTCACTAGCTGAAAAAGCTTCCTCTGATCCCTCCCCCCCATCACCTAGTTTAAAAGTTCCTCTAACGTTTTTGGCCATCCTCTTCCCCAGTAGAGCTGCACCATCCCTATTTAGGGCCAGTCTGTCCCTACTATAGAGTCTGAAAAGTCAGCTCAGTTCTCAATGAACCCAAAACCCTTCTTCTTATATCAGTTCCTCAGCTACTTGTTAAAGCAGTAGTAAACCACACCAAAAAAAAGTTGAGCTCCAAGAAGTTTTAGGTCATAATGTGCTCGTATGCACCGCATACGAGCACATTATGACTGCCATACCTGAAAATTAAGCCCTTCAGTGGAGTGCTGTCACCACTGGAGGGCTTAATTTTCATTAGGTCTTCCTTCCGGGTTCACGGGCTTGACATCACTTGGATGAATGGACGCGGTCCATTCAGAGAGCAGTGTGCATGCACTGGTCATGTCACCGGCTGCTGCTAAAGTAAATATCTCCTAAACGGTGCACACATACAGTTGCAAGAAAAAGTATGTGAACCCCTTGGGATTACGTGGAGTTTTGCATGAATTGGGCATAAAATGTGCTCTGAACGTCATCTAAGTCACAATAGAAGAAAAAGTATGTGAACCTTTGGACTTAATAACTGGTTGACCCTCCTTTGGCAGCAATAACCTCAACCAAACATTTCCTGTAGTTGCAGATCAGACCTGCACAACGATCTGGAGTAGTTTTGGACCACTCCTCTTCACAAAACTGTTTCAGTGTAGCAATATTCTTGCGATGTCAGGTGTGAATCGCTCTCTTAAGGTCATGCCACAGCATTTCAATCGGGTTGAGGTCAGGACTCTGACTGGGCCACTCCAGAAGGCGTATTCTGTGCTGTTCCAGCCATTGTTTTGTTGAATTACTTGTATGCTTTGGGTCATTGTCCTGTTGCATCACCCATCCTCTGCGAGGCTTCAGTTGGCAGACAGATGGTCGTACGTTTTCCTGCAAAATGTCTTGATAAACTCCGGAATTCATTTTCCCATCAATGACAACAATCCGTCCAGGCCCAAAGCAGCCCCAAACCATGATGCTCCCTCCGCCATGTTTTACAGTTGGGATGAGGTTTTGATGTTGGTGTGCTGTGCCTTTTTTTCTCCACACATAGTGTTGTGTGTTCTTCCCAAACAACTCAATCTTGGTTTCATCTGTCCACAGTATATTTTGCCAGTAGTGCTGTGGAACATCCAGGTGCTCTTTTGCAAACTTCAAACATGATGCAATATTCTTTTTGGACAGCAATGGCTTCCTCCGTGGTGTCCTCCCATGCACTGCATTCTTGTTTAATGTTTTCCTTATTGTAGATGTGTCAACAAAAATGTTAGCATGTGCCAGAGATTTCTGTAGGTCTTTAGCTGACACTCTGGGATTCTTCTTTACCTCATGCAGCATTCTGCGCTGTGCTCTTGCAGTCATTTTTACAGGACGACAACGCCTAGGGAGAGTAGCAACAGTGCTAAAGTTTCTCCATTCATAGACAGTCTGTCTTACCGTGTACACATGAACATCAAGGCTTTTGGAGATACTTTTGTAACCCTTTCCAGCTTCATGCAAGTCAACAATTCTTGATCGTAGGTCTTCTGAGAGCTCTTTTCTGCGAGGCATGGTTCACATCAGACAGTGCTTCTTGAAACCAGTAAACCCAAAACAGGTGTGTGTTTTTTAAGGGCAGGACAGCTGTCAGCAACACATCCAATATCATCACACTGATTGGAGTCAAGGTTGGCTCACTCCTGGCTCCAATTAGCTCTGGGTGAAGTCATTAAGCTAGGGCCTCACATACTTTTTCCTCTCTGCACTGTGAATGTTTACATGTCGTTATGTGCAATTAAACCATGGCAACATCTAATGTTTGTGTAGTATTATGTTCAGCAGACTGTGTTCTTCTATTGTTGTGACTTAGATGACGTTCAGAGCACATTTTATGCCCAATTCATGCAAAACTCCACGTAATCCCAAGGGGTTCACATACTTTTTCTTGCAACTGTACGAGATATTTACTGTATTCATAGGTAAGCCTATAATGAGGTATATATCACCCACATGAGTTTACGACCACTTTAAGTTCTCCTGCTGCCACTCTGGTATGGCTCAAAGTACAGGCAGTATTTCTGGGAATACCACCCTGGAGACTCTTTTCCTCAATATAGCCCCTAGGTTCCTGAAATCTTTTTTATATATATATATATATATATATATATATATTTTTTTTTTTTTTTTTTTTTTTTTAAGTAATACAGTATTCAAAAAGGACAGAAAGTTTAGCAAAGATCAGACTCAAGCATGTCAGGGCATCATATCAGAGAATATAAAAGCACATTTCAGTGACAATATAGAAGGAAAGAAAAGGCTGGGAGACATGGATGGTATACTCTCAGTAGGCTCATCTCCATCCCAAGGGGGCCGAGAGAATCCCATGAGACTTCTAGAATTTAGTTCATAGGGACTATGCATTCAAAACAAACCAAACATAACTAATATAACAGACCAGAACAAAAAGATTGAGACCTCAGAATAGAGGAGCAATATCAAGGGAGAGGGAGAAGAAATCCACTGGAAGTCCAATTGAGGCGTAGTGTGCTGCGAGGAAACTGGATCATGTAGTGCTATGATGGCTTTGTGAGGAGAAGCAGTCCACAGAAATAAAAGAAGAAAGTAAGGTCAGCGTTTCAGACTGTGGAAGGGAGTGTTCCATAAAAGCCTGCCATCTTAGTGAAAAGCGATTGAGAGAGGTGGAGTAGAATGTTCCATATCATTTTTTTCCCTGTGAATGAGGGTATGAGTTCTTTTTTAATGTCTGAAATTGTAGGTCCAGATGATAAGGTCCATTGTTTCAGTATGGCTCTGTGAGCAACTAAGTGGCAAATGAGTATCCATTGTTAATTTGGGGTTATTGTTCTTGACTGTGATGCTTCAGGTCAGCCTAGGGAGTGCAATACCCAAACAGTAGAAGAAAGAGGTCCTTGGGGATATAGCAGTGAGAGACACCATAAATGATGGAGATTAGTTGATCTCAAAAGTCTGCTATGTGGAGACATGACCAGAATTTATTTGCATATGAAAGCCTAGATGAGCCATACAATTTGCAAAAGTCTGCAAAGGGGCCCTCTTTGGATGGGAGTAAGGGGATGAAGGCACTATTAATGATTTTATGCTTGATCTCTCTCCAGGATTCATTTGTCACAAAAGATAAGACCTTATTGTAGGCTGCCAACAGTTTTAGAGAGAGATGCACATCTGGAAAATCATTTCCACAATAGCTGAAAAGGTTTTGTGTATCATA